AATAGTCGCAAGCCACAAGCCCAAAATACACTTAAGGGTTGATAACATATATAAACACTTTTATAATTTTCTCTTACAAAATAGACATTGTTTAGGAACGGGTACTTGTTACACTGTTCATTATAAAAACATCTAAAATTGCTTCGTATGATTAGAAAAGTGGTGAATACATGTTTTGGTTGCGTTTTGTTTTGATTTATCATGTCTATGATAACCTTTCTATGAATACTAGTTGACTCCCCGCTTTATACGCGTTAAAATATTTTTTGAAATCAAATAAATTAGAATAGTATTATTTCGTGGTTAAAAATTGCCGATGATGTTCTTTGAATTTCAGTTCAATTTCTTTACATAAAATAATATCTTTCTTTTTTCCCTGTTTGTTGGCACTAATTCGAACTATTTATTATTACAATAATAAATTTCTAAATTATTTTTAAATGAGAAACAAAAAATTTTATATAATTTTAGAATAAAAGCAAAAATCTGATAAAATATTGATTAAAAACTCTTTTGATTTATTTATGGAAATAAATATCAATTTAGTTGTAGAAGATTTTTTTTATTGATTCAAATTGTCATATCACATTTTTTTCAAGCCATGTCACAATTGTTTTGGTGAGAGTGATTGCGCAGATGACATATAAGCATTTTCTCACAAATCACTCCCTAATTAATATATAAAGGATATTTTTAGAGGCTAAGGAGATATTGTTGCCAATCGTCCATATTCTATAAATTAACTTGAACAAAGCTTAAACCTGTTCATCCATATTGAACATTTGTTCATTGCTACATAGGCACACAATCCTTCTATGTTGAACATTTAACCATCTCAACTACATTTAACAATCTCAACTGTTTCAGAGATTTTTAGTTTTTTTGAACGATCATTGGGGGACAACCAATCAATCAACAAACAAGTGAAAGCCATAAAACACGATACTGGAGTGTTTTCTGACGGTTCTATGACATTGAAGTCAAAAAAGAGAAAAAAAAATAGGAAGAGTTAGAGAACAAGGAAAGAATGTCGAAAAACGAAAAAGAATAGGAAAAAAGTGACACTAGCCGATTGAGGGTTGATCCAGATCATATCAGGACATTTGGGTGAAGAAAGCTTAGATAGACAAGATAAAAACAGTATTTGGGGTTGAAAAGGGTCAAGGAATGACCAGGTGAAGAGATCCGAGATGAGTCTGAAGATGTGACCCTAAACAGTCGGAATGAGACAAAAACCCATGGAAATTGGATTTTTGTCTTAAGAGAAAATGTATTTTTCACGACTGAGTTCTAGTTAGGTTTTATGAAATAAATGAGAAGATTATTTATAGCTTTTTACATGTTTGGGCTAAGAGATTTTCCTAAACAAAATACATGCAACGCTGAGAAATTCGCCTAAGTTAAGAATGCTTTTTATCCCCAACTTAAATTGTTTGATTTCTTTTCATTTAATTTAAAAACTGGAAACTTTTAAGGTTACCTTCATTGTTGTTGGACATGTTGGATTCTTCCGATTACATTCGGAGAAAGATAATCGAGCATCGAGATTGTTAAATGTTTTCCTGAAACCTAAACAAATGTCCATCAAAGAACCTGTTATATAGCTGTCCATTTTAATATGTCCACAGCTACCTATCCACGTATATGAGATAATTAATGACAAGTAACCCTGGATATGTTACGATGGACAAACAAAACAAATATACGTAGGACAATGATCGAACAATAACCATCACTAAGCCACACAGTGTATAATGCTTAAAAGTATCTTCTAGACTAATTAATCATTGTAATTCTCATAACTCTTTCCATCTGTTTGTCAATCTTATCAAAAGTCTCTTCTAGACTAACCCAACATTGATCTTCATTGCATTTTTCATTTGCTCTGTGGTGTTGACCATCTCTTCAAATAACCAAGTGAAAAATGCAATTATTTGTTGTCTCATAGGACTTATATAGGTTTTTGATAACTTTTATTTAACATGGTTAGACATACCTACAACCTTTATTGTTTTATCTAGACTCTCCAAAATAACGTTTGTTTAACTGCAAAATGTAATTAAGGTCCATATGC